AGTAGTACTTAATAAGGTGACCAATAAGACTTTAGAGCAAAAAATAAATTCATTTTAGAATAAAATTCTTTGGAAGAAGTAGAACGGAGTTCAGGGAGCAAAAAGAATCGCACAATATTTCCAACTGTTACAAAGCATGTTAAAGTATTATTAAAAATGGAAAGTAGTAGCTAGCAAATCTCTACTGTACCAAGATTTCACTGGATACCTTTAAAAGACCAAATAGGCCGGGCGCAGTGGCTCAAGCCTGTAATCCCAGCACTTTGGGAGGCCGAGGCGGGTGGATCAAGAGGTCAAGAGATCGAGACCATCCTGGTCAACATGGTGAAACCCCGTCTCTACTAAAAATACTAAAAATTAGCTGGGCATGGTGGCGTGTGCCTGTAATCCCAGCTACTCAGGAGGCTGAGGCAGGAGAATTGCCTGAACCCAGGAGGCGGAGGTTGCGGTGAGCCGAGATCACGCCATTGCACTCCAGCCTGGGTAACAAGAGCGAAACTCTGTCTCAAAAAAAAAAAAAAAAAAAAAGACCAAATAACATTTTAAAATGCCAATATTTATAATGCATAATAAAATGCATCTTTTAGGGGTAAACATAATGATTTTAGATATTCTTTTTAAAAAATCCATCGGAGTATCATGGCTTTTCCAAAATTTGTAGGGGGTATAGGTTTCACGACTATTCACTGCCTGCTGGTTACAGCCCTCTCAGCTTCTGGACACCTAGGTGGTTGGAGCCAGATCACCTTATTTCAAGCACCAACCAAGCAGATACCATGATGGTCTTGGTCAACTGCAATATCACTACCCTTAACATAGTCGATGTTAAATTAATGAATGTTGAATATTAAAAATCATTCACAACTTTCCATCTACTTCTGCTTCAAAGGCTGCTCTAACACTGGCCACGCCTGAAATGACTGACACCAGGATGGCCGTAGGGGGTAAAGGGTGTGTCCTATATTGTCATATCTTGTCACTACAAAAGTGAAATGAGTCTAGACCGAAGCTGGATCAACCGGCTGAGTCATTATAAATCTTGGATCAAATTAACTACATTGTAGAATTCCTCTGCAGTGATTAGGACCAGCAATAGCAGAATTCACTCTCTAGGGACAAAGTTAGCAAAAGTCCCAATGATTATCTTCCTCTCCTAAATCAATGTCAAGTTGCCATCTTCCGTTTTCCTGCCACTCTTACTGCATGTCTAAACAGTCATATTCCAGAATGCACTCCCATGTAGTTGCCTCTTGTGATGCTCTTCTGAGTGGTATCATCACTTAGAACCCTAGCCCCAGATTCTGACATCAGGGAGGGACTACAGAAGGGGGGACTCATTTGCATCTCTTCATTTTCTAGCAGCGATGTTTTACACATATCATATGGTTTTAAATTTGAAATACCCTAGAAACAGACCTTGTTATAGAAGCAGATTGAAAAAATGTGCAGACAAGTCAAAATACTTGCATTAATGAAGCTTTATGGATTTACACCGTATCAAGAGAAGTCTCCAAAGGCAGAATTGCACATCAAGCCTATTTCTTCTGACTCATTTCCTCTGGAGAAGCAGCTTAGAATAATTCAGGCAAAAGGCCACGAAATAATTGCATTGGTAACAGGAACCTGGTAGAAAAGTAGAGAGGGAATTGCTAAATTAAACTCAACCTACAGGGCTTTCGTGGGGAGTCACATGGCATGCTTTTTCTTTCTCACTTAGGAGAAAAAAAATCTATTTTCTTACATTTTTACTTGAAGAAAAAAAATCAGAGGCTAATTTAATGCTTTTATACACTAATTACTGCAAATACACTAAGAGCGATCTTTTATATAAAAATTAAAAAATCACATAGTAAAAAATACACTTGAAAAATTTTAGTTTCGAGTAGCTTTTCCTGCCAAATAGCCTGCCAGATACATACAGCAATGTTTGGCTGCAGCTGCCCAGAGGCCTTGTGTTTATGAAGTGAATAGGATTAATTGTGGTCACCCTCTTAGTATCAACACTGACCTTTCCCCCTGTATGTATTCCTTCCTCACTGCCTGAAAAAAAAGTAACTGGTTATAAAAACAATCAAAATGAATGCTTTCAGATGCTGTTTCCCAAACTGGGTCAGACACTACTGGGATATGTCCTGGGTCTTGCAGGCAAGGGAAGAAAGGTGGCTAAAGCAGAATCTATGAGAAAGAAATCAGAAACTCAAGTAACAGGATGGAGCTGGGCACAGTGGCTCAAGGCTGTAATCCCAGCACTTGGGAGGCCTAGGTGGGCAGATCACCTTAGGTCAGGAGTTCACGACCAGCCTGGCCAACATGGAGAAACCCCGTCTCTACTAAAAATACAAAAATCAGCTGGGCATGGTGGTGCGCACCTGTAATCCCAGATACTCAGGAGGCTGAGGCAGGAGAATTGCTTGAACCTGGGAGACAGAGGTTGTAGTGAGTGGAGACTGCGCCACTGCACTCCAGCCTGGGTGATGGAGAAACGAAAGGTAAGACAGGATGGTAGGGAGAGAAGGAAGGAAGAGAGAGAGGAGAAGAAGAAAAGAGAAAGGGATATAGAGAAAGAATAAGAGAAAAAAGTGTGGAGGAAAATATTCAACAGTAATTAAGAGAGAAAATTAACCATGAGGAAGAAAAAAGGGAAAGTCATAATATTTACCAAAAAATATCTTGTGGTAAGGGAGAAAATCGCTGTTTATTTCAAATTCAGGGTCAAACCTAAGAGGCAGAAATCCTTATAAATTCTTTTAAAACTCCTCAGTGGGCCGGGCGCGGTGGCTCAAGCCTGTAATCCCAGCACTTTGGGAGGCCGAGGCGGGTGGATCACGAGGTCAAGAGATCGAGACCATCCTGGTCAACATGGTGAAACCCCGTCTCTACTAAAAATACAAAAAATTAGCTGGGCATGGTGGCGCGTGCCTGTAATCCCAGCTACTCAGTAGGCTGAGGCAGGAGAATTGCTTGAATCCAGGAGGCGGAGGTTGCGGTGAGCCGAGATCGTGCCATTGCACTCCAGCCTGGGTAACAAGAGCGAAACTCCGTCTCATAAAAAAAAAAAAAAAAAAAAAAAAAAAAAAAAAAAAAAAAAACTCCTCAGTGTCTCTGCAAGATGCTAATGAACTAAATATGTTAAGAAGAAAGAAAAGAGAGAGAGAGAGAAAGAAAAGTAAAAGAATCAAAGATTTATCCATCCATTCCATATGAGCTATACTTCAAGATCTAAATAGTTAGAGGTGAAGTTTCTCTTTGTGGATGTATTCTGACTAATAATAAAAGGAATAACAATTAGAATATCACCATTTTGTAACCTCTAATGATATAATCTATCTAGGCAATGCCAGTTATTAGCTGCTTCCTAATAAAATCTACAACACCACTACACAAAGAAAAGCTGAATCTGATTAATCATCTTGCTCTAACTTCTAATATAAAGGGGGAAAAAAGATGAAAAACATGTTAAATGACAGTTCAAGGATTGCATCATAAAAACCCTGACGGTAAAAACCTTACAGAAGAAAGAAACTAAACATTCCCATCAAAAGGCAGAGATTGTTGTTCCTTTTCATCTGTCTTCTCTCCTCAGTTCTGACAGTAGACACTTCAAATACCAAGATATAAATAAGTTTAAAATGAGAATACGGAAAACACACACACACACACACACACACACACACACACACTAGCAGTAAGCATAAGAAAGCTGGAAGGGCCAAAAAATCACTGGGCAAAACAGACTTTGGAGTAAGCAGTAGCAGTGTATATGGGCCTAATGACAGGTCTCCAAAATACGGGATGGAAAAACTGACAGAACTAAAGGAAGAAAATCACAAATCCACAAGCACTGTTGGAGATTTCAAACCACCTCACTCAGTAATTGATAGAGTAACCAAAGGAGGGGGGGGAAGAAATCATAATATAGGAGAACTAAAATGATGCTATCAACCAACCATAAAAATTTGGGAACAAAAACCACAAACATTCTAAAATGGCAAGAGTGAGTGGGTTGGTTAGGCATTTATCTGCCTCCTCTTCTAAACCAGTTCTCTTTCAAATGTGATAACTAGGTACAGGTTTGCCACAGGATTGAAGAGAAAGAAAAGAACAAGAAAGGTGCCAAATTTAAGGAAAGAGTGGTCCATCTTTTATTTATACAGCCTTCAAATCCCAGAAAGTTTCCAAAGCCTTTTTTATACACATTATCTCATTCCATCCCAACATTATCCTTTGAAAAGGCAGCCCACATTTCCTTATCCCCACTTCACAGACAAGGAAGTTGAGCTCAGAGGCTGATTTGCCAAATGAACAAAATCCTGAAAGTCTGTTGCTAGATCAAAAGGGTGGACATACTTTAAAGATCACCTGAGGGAATTCACTGGAAATGTAGTGGAATACCAATTATTTTCCTTCTAGAAAGTACGTTTTCTGTGGGACACAGTGGCTCACACCTGTATTCCCACTTGGGAAGCTAAAGAGGGAGGATCACTTGAGCCCAGGATTTTGAGAACAGCCTGAGCAACACAGTAGGACTCTATCTCTAAAATACTTTTCAAAATTAAGCCAGGTGTGGTCCTAACTACTCAGGAGGCTGAGGCAAGAGGATCATTGAGCCTGAGTTCAAAGCCACAGAGAGCCTTGATCATGCCACTGTACTTCAGTCCGGGAGACAAACCTTGTCGCTAAAAAAAAAAAAAAAAAAAAGTATTTGGACATACTTCCCCCAGTATGTCCAAATATCCAAAGCAATTATATTAAGAGTATTGGCTCCTTGGTTAAGAATTGGGCTTTATTTTCACACACTCCCTGAAGTCACACAGCCAGAGATCAGGTAGAAAATAGAGAGAACAAAGTTACAAAGCATGTGTCCAAACAGCAACCTAAATGAAATACTCCTGGACAGAAGCTTTGGCAAACTCGGTATTGACCATACTCCCAGTTACCCATAAAAACTTACCAAGTTGTGATTTAGAAACAGATTCAAAGAAAGCAGTCTGCAGAAAATATGCAGATTTACTGTTTTAATTAGCAAAACACAGACTTTACAAATCTCATTACTGTATTTGGAGACTAAATCTTAGAGTAAAATGACTTTGTTTCTTGGCTTGAACCAAATTATGTGGGTTTTTTTAATAATTAGAAAACTTTATTGAAGAGCTTAAGAAATAATTTAAGTATCAATATTGAATCTTCAAAAACTCCTCCAGTACAGTCTATGACAGCTGCACAGTAATTTGCCAATTTACGTTGTCTTAGATTTTCTTAATATTCACATCTGCCTTCTGATCTTTGAAATTCTTTTTGTGTTGTTTTAAAATAAATACATGATTCAAATATGTTCTAGGTGAGAACTGGTTATTTAAATAGGATATATGTGTTTTACTTATATCCCTCTCAGTGTTCCACTGAAGCATATATTCTTTTAGGTATTTGGGGGACTGTGTCATTAAGGCTAATGGTGGTTTAATCTAAGAGGAAAAAAATACATGTATACCAAGGAATATTTTTCAGTTTCTTGGCAAAACACAAAAGAAAGGAAAAGTGATTTGACTTTTTAGCTCCAATTGCTTTCAATTTCTTAGGTAAGGTAAATGTTGTAAAATCTGTTGAGTTTTTTTAATAGAACCTGAGTGAATAAAATGCAGAGGTAAATCACTACTTTCTATTTAAAGCAAATTGGCTTTTTACAAAGCTTATGACCATTTTTAAAGAAAAAGAAAAGAGGCCAGGTGCGGTGGCACATGCTTATAATCCCAGTGCTTTGGGAGGCCAAGGCAGGTGGATCATGTAAGTCCAGGAGTTTGAGACCAGCCTCAGCAACATAGTGAAACCCAGGTGTGATGGCTTATGTTTGTAGTCCTAGCTACTCAGAAGGCTGATGTGCGAGGATCACTTGAGCCTTGGAGGTTGAGGCTGCAGTGAATTGTGACTGTGCCTCTGTACTCCAACATGGACAAAGAACAAGACCCTGTCTTGACTCAAAAAAAAACAAGAAAAAGAAAACCACGTTCTCCCCAGAAAATAGGAAATAGGCCAACAGTTTCTTGGTTTTTGTTTGTTGTTGTTGTTTTTGAGACAGAGACTCGCTCTTTTACCCAGGCTAGAGTGCAGCTGCATGATCTTGGGTCACTGTATCCTCTGTCTCCTGGGTTCAAGCGATTCTCCTGCCTCAGCCTCCTGAGTAACTGAGATTACAGGCGCCTGCCACCACACCTGGCTCATTTTTGTATTTTTAGTAGAGACAGGGTTTTACCACGTTAGCCAGGCTGATCTTGAACTCTTGACCTCAAGTGATCCACTCATCTCAGCCTCCCAAAGTGCTGGGATTACAGGTATGAGCCACCACGCCCAGCTGGTTCTTCTTTCTTCTGCCAGGCAGGCCAGACAAGATGGGCAGGCTTCCTACATGGACTCGGAGGGGCTCTCTGGTCTCTGCTGATGGGGCTGGCATGCTAGCTGTGGACACCCAATACAACAGTGGCTCCATATAATCATGAGAAACAAGACAGATATGACCATTACATTTCACACAAACTTTGAAGGAGCCATCAAACAGTAACTATTCAATTACTCTTTGTGGCTTTTTATTTTGAATCAATAACCTAGAAGTGAAGGTCTTCACAGCCCATTATGCCTTCACTGATCCACCCACTTCCCATGAATACCTGCTGAATGAAAGGGATAAGGCAGCATGTGCTAAGATGCAGTGCTGCCTCTAAACATAGTTTATTGGTGGGGGCAGGCATGAAACCCAAGTTCAGAAGTGCTCAAGTACTCAACTATGAAGAAGTCTTTCAAGCACACAATTGATTTTTAGCAAGCATAGGGTATGAAGACCTTCATTTTGATTTTATAAAAGTAGGCTATGTTGCATGAGTCTCTAAAAGTGGCTGAAAAGCCGACTGCATGCTTTTAAGCCTAAAAATAACCAAGGAGTAGAGCCAAACATGTACATTTCAGCAGAAAAGTGATAAACAGAAAGCCAAGCAGATAATATGCTGAAGAAAGAAGAAAGCCCACATGATGGCTTATGCTGACTTTAAAACAGAGTCAAACATTCAAACATTCAAGAAGTGAAAACAAATGCAGTTAGGTGTGTTATCTCACCCCAAAAGAACCCATGGCTATTAAAGTTGTCAGGAGGATCTTCTGAACTGTTAAAGCCTGATGTTATGCTACCAATCTGATTCACCTTCAGTTTCAATAACTGATAGATATTTCTTACCAAGACCCTAATTTTGGCATCAACAATGTTAATTTATAGATCAGAATCATAAAACTACTAATTCCATGTTCATTTGCTAATTTATGAGATAGAAAACATAAAGTCCTTAATTCTAAAAAGAACATTTTAATATCTCATCCCTATTATTCTTCCAGGAAGGAGGAAAAAATAGTTTTTGGAATTTCAGTAGAACATAATGTTTAGAACAACAGAAAACATAGGGGAAAAAACTCAAAGCTCAATAAATATTCAATCTACAAGAAATACAGGAAAATAGGGGAAAATACTGAAACTACTTTGCTGTACCATGGAGACACATGGTAGCCCAGGACCACTTCCTAGATGACTCTTTGGATACTTAATTCAGTTGGCCTTAATCGCTTATAAAGTGTGCAACACAGGTAGGGGGAATTTGTCCTTAATTTAGTTCTGAAAGAGGCATGAGTGGATGTAAACGCTAATCACAGACCACTGTAGATCATTAGGGCAATTAAGCAACAGTTTCTGGTCTTGAAACCCTTCCACACAAATCACCTGCTAACCTTTGGATCCAGGTTTCAGACTTGCGAACACTTTGGGGTTCTTAAGGGCAAGTGAGAGCTCATTGAGGAAGGAAATAAAGTGGGAGTCTCTTTCAGATTTCTTTGACTCAAAAATGATGACAATGGTAAAGTGAGGTTCCGGGCGGGTTAGAAAGTAGGTGCTCTGCACTTTGTCATCATAGAAGTGGACCACTTTCTCCAAGCTGTTCAGATCGGATGTGCGGTCCGTCATGATCATGATGACATTGGGCCAGTGCATGACTGGCCTGTCGCTGGGCAGAGACACTACGGCTGGATACTGGTCCACACCCTTGGGAGCCTCTCTGTAGGAATGGGGGTGGTGATAGCCGTGACCCTGAAAACTCTCAGAACCCCTGTTGTCAAAAATTAAGGACACATTGGCAGCGTCATATTTCCTGATGAAGCTGGAAATCTTTCCAAAGAAGTCTGGGTTAACTTTTGCTGTCAACGTTTTCATTTCTGAAGCAGTCGTTTGTCGGCTCAGGGCCTCATGAAAGTAAAAGCTAAACTTGGCAAGAAGCATGTTTTTGAGTTTCATCAGCCAAAGGAAAAGGTGTGGGGGCTGCACGGCCTTCTGAGACTGCCCTCCAAACAGATGTTTCTTTGTCTCCCGCTGTTTCTCAAAGATCTGGCCCCAGGTCTGCAGCTTGGTGTGCGCACTGTGCAAGTTAACCAGAGATGGGAGGAACTTCCATTCTGAGACCTGGGCCTGGGCTTTCAGGAGATGACACAGGACGTCAACTTCCAGCTGGAAACTGCTTTCCAAAGGACTGAGGATTGGGTGGTGAAATCTAAAGAGGGGAGGGAAATTAATAGAGATAAGTGGAAATGGTACTCCACTTGCCATACTGACATTTTTCTAACCACAGAGCAACAATATGGCCAAACAAATAATACTATGTTTGAGGACACAGGAAGAAAAAATGATTTATTTTGAAGTTCTGACATAATTTCACCATTTCAAAATTTTATCAACATCATATTCTCCTGTGGAAATGGCCTGAGAGTAGTGGCCACTTTCTTAACAGAATTACTGAATTAGCTACCATTCATTTTATTATTATTATTATTATTATTTATTTGAGACTGGGTTTTGCTCTGTCACCCAGGCTGGAGTGCAGTTGTGCAATCATGGCTCACTGCAGCTCAGCTCCTGGGCTCAAGTGAGCCTCTCACCTCAGCATCACAAGCAGCTGAGAATACAGGCACACATTCCATTTTCTGTAGAGACAAGAAGCCTTATGTTGCCCCAGCTGGTTTCAAACTCTAAGTGATCTTCCTGCCTTGGCCTCCCAAAGTGCTGGGTTACAGGTATGAGCCACCACACCTGGCCTAAATTAGCTATAATTCTTTCTGAGCATATTTTAGTTATTCTGGGAATTGTATGACTAACACAGTCATTGAAACAAGGCATGCTCTTTTCAGAGTGTGGTCCTAAAGAGGCAGAGGTAAAACAAAAAAAGTCACTAAAACATCAGTTGAAAGTGTAGATGACATATATAAACTATTTAATGGCATGACGCATTAAACCTATCTTGCAGATGAGAACACATACTGTAAACTTACATGTAAAACACTGTAGATAAAATAAATGTTTATTAAAGAAATACAGCACTTATCAGACAGCCCTTATTCAATCCTGGTTCCCAATCTCCCTTCATATTTAATTATGGTTAAAAACAAAATGGTGTCCGGCCTGGCCAACACGGTGAAAGCCCATCCTTACTAAAAACACAAAAATTACCCAAGCATGGTAGCATGTGCGCCTGTAATCCCAACTGCCCGGGAGGCTGAGGCATGAGAATCGCCTGAACCTGGGAGGCAAGGTTACAGTGAGCTGTGCACCACTGCTCCAGCCTGGGTGAAACAGCGAGACTCTGTCTCAAACAAACAAATAAACATATGGTGGCCAAGTAAGAAACAGCTAACACTTCAATCATTTTCCGCTTAACTTAGGATAAAACCCCAAATCCAGAAAAAGGCCTAGAGGGCATTGAATACTCTAGTTCCTTCCCAGTTTGAGCCAATTCCTATTCTTCTCACTTTCTCCAGATATTCAATAAATAACTGAAAATGCAATTATACTACAAGGAGTTCGAGACAGTAGTGTACTTTTACTTCCACTTGTCCTAGACAAAATATATAAAAGTTTTTGACGTTGTAACAGTGGCTCATTCCAGCATTTTGGAAGGTGGAGGCGAGTGGACTGCTTGAGCCCAGGAGTTCATGAGACCAGCCTGGGAAACATGGCAAAATCCTGTTCTCTACAAAACATTCAAAAATTAGTCAAGTGTGGTGGCGTGCACCTGTGGCCCCAGCTACTCAACTCAGAGGGCTGAGGTGGGAAGATCAACTGAGCAAGGTTGAGGATAGTGAGCTGTCATCACACTTCTGCGCTTGACAGAGTGAGACCTTGTCTTAAAAAAAAAAGGTTTTTGACTATGATCTATAGTAAAAAATACACTTCATGTTGTGACCAAGTACCTATATATAGAAATATTATTTTACTTCAATATTTACTGACTATATACAATGTACTCTTGATATCTTCTTATATATATTAAGTATATATTTAATATATTTTCTACTATATATATTAAATCAGATTACTACTCACTAAATTAACTTTATAACCCATGGATTACCACCTGCTGTTGGTAAAATACTATTTTACTTCAAATGTAATAGCAACATTTAGAGGGAAAAGAACATGATGTGAAACTATCCTCTCTTCCAGGCATGAGGGAAAAAGTGCAGAGGCCCTAGACAAGTGAGAGCATGACCCATTTTCATCAATACTGTACTCCTTCCTGATTCTTCAGGTCTCCTCGTCAGTCACTAGAAAAGCTTTCTCTGTCCACTCCTAGACGACGTCAGGTTCCCCAGTTACATCCTCTCATTTACTAATACCTCTCTCCCACTTTAGTAGCCTGACCATATAATTTCTCAGGGAAACTGAAACATACGGCCACCCCAGCTTTAAGCTCCTCCCCAAGCGGAAGTCACAGCTGCCTCCTCTATTGGCTCCTTTGTCTCTAGAACATTATGACTCAAGTAAAAATTCAGTCAATGTGGTGACCAACTATGTAAAGATCTGAATCCAAGTCTCTGCCTCATTGGTTCTGCCTGCGGTTATGAGGTGAAATAAGTTCTATAACAATGGAATAGAATGGCTCAGGAGAGTCCTTTCTGTACAGACCACATAGAGCTTTCTTGCTCAGTTTCTCTTCTGTGAAACAAACAGTGTCTCCCAGGCCTGGTACATGCTCCTTCTCCAGAAGCCTATGTCAAGCCCTTACACTCTTCCTAAAGATTCACAGTACCTGCAGAGGCTGTGGAAATGACCTCAGCAAGTGATCCCACTGTAAAGGCAGGGGAAGCACTTGTATTTATTGAGCATATCATATGTTCCAGGCACTATGGTAGATGATCTACAGGCCTGAGTGCATTTGATCACTTAATTGTTAATGAGATGGACACTTCTCACACAGCTCTGATTTGACTACTGGTGAAAAGGAAAATGCTGGTTATCAAATAAACAAATATGGAAAAAAATCATCTCAAGTATATCTAGGTTTTTAAAATATGTATATACTTAAATACTTAAGAGGATTATGGTTAAGAGAGTCCATACTAAGTTGGACACTATAAGACAGAAATGAATTATCAAGTGAAAGGTCATTATTCATGTGAAAAACACACATTGTTTTCCATCTATTATCTGCATTTTACATCAACATCCTTCCATCTGAGGAAGCTAAAACATGGGTGAGATTAAGTCTAATAATATACATAATCCATGGAATACTATGCAGCCAATAAAAAGGAACAAGATCATGTCCTTTGCAGGGACATTGATGAAGCTGGAAGCCATTATCCTCAGCAAACTAATGTAGGAACAGAAAATTTAAACACTGCATGTTCTCACTTATAAGTGGGAGCCGAACAATGAGAACATATGGACACAGGGAGGTGAACAACACACACTGGGGCCAGTTGGGGGAGGGTGGCGTAGGGGAGAGCATTAGGGAAAAGAGCTAATGCATGCTGGGCTTAATACCTAGGTAATGGGTTAATAGGTGCAGCAAACCACCATGGCACACATTTACCTATGTAACAAACCTACACATCCTGCAAATGTACCCTAGAACTTAAAAACACTGAATTTAAAAAATACATATATAAATACACAAAAAAATCAGAAAGATAAACCAGATCTCAAATCTTCTAGCTCATGTGCTAAATTTAAACTTTTCAAACATTACATATTTTGGAATGAACACTAAGAAAGTTCAGGCTGGGAGCAGCAGCTCGCACCTGTAATCTTAGCACTTTGGCCAAGACAGGAGGATCATTTGGAGGCCAGGAGTTCAAGACCAGCCTGGGCAATACAGTGAGACTCCTGTCTCTACAAATACTTAAAAAAATTAGCCAGGCCTGGTGGGGTGTGCCTGTCGTCCTAGATACTTGGGAGGCTGAAGTGGGAGGACTGCTTGAGCCTGGGAGGTTGAGGTTGCAGTGAGCCATGATCACACCACTGCACTCCAGTGTGGACAGCAGAGTAAGACCCTGTCTAAAACAAACAAAAAACTCACTTCAGCAGCACATATACTTAAATTGGAATCGTACAGTGAAGATTAGCATGTCCCCTATACAAGGATAACACTTTTTTAATATATGTATTTTTAAAAGTTTTAAATGCACACACGCAAAATCCCATTATAATATAAGTCTCAAAATCCTTGAATTGTAAGAAAGGCTCCTACCACCTTAGCCTTTAGGCCCCTTGACACTTATAAGCATTAAATATCACAATCTTCTATAATCAGGGCTATTAAGAAAATTTGCCTAAAAACTGTGAACACAGTAAGACTGTTAATCACAGGATTAACAACATGAAATCAGAGAGAATTCTAGTACAAATAACACTGTTGTTATCCTTCTGCTTTCAGTTGGAAATCATCATTTATATCCAATGCTTAAGAGGACAAAAATTCCCTGTACAAACCTTCCAAACAAGCTCTTCCATAACATACACTAAAAGTGCTTAAATGCTCAACATTTATTAAAGATATGTGAATGTTGAAGCTATTTTTCATCCTCAAGAAGAGCTAAAAATTCACGTTAATGTTAGTCTGCCAAGACTTAGAGATTAGCATTATGATGTAGCATTTCCCTATTCCCACTCTGCCATGTGCCTCATAGCTATTCACAACTCACATTATAGGAGGCTCTGTTAAATGGTTGTAATCCAAAAATATCCACCTAAGCTACGGCAGCAAGCTTGAAAGAGTCTGAATAGTCTTAATACAGAATAAATTAACAACTATTTGCAGAACATCTGCTCTAAGGAAAGGAAAGAAGGAAGGAAGGAAGGAAGGAAGGAATTCTCCTTAGACTGGAGGAAAGTACAAAATGAATAGATTTGTGCAATATTCTAATGAAACACAAAACTCCATTTTAGAAACACTGCCTTTCTCCTTTGCAAATCTGTACCATGGAGTTCTTTCCAAAAAGTATATATTCTTATTTGTTTATTTATTTATTTATTTATAGGCAGGGTCTCACTGCACAGCTCACTGCAGCCTTAACCTTCCAGGTTCAAGGGATCCTCCCACCTCAGCCTCCTTAGCAGCTGGGACTACAGGCACAAACCACCACACCCAGCTAATGTTTTAATTTTTTGTAGACATAGGGTCTTGCTCTGTTGCCCAGGGTGGTCTTGAACTCCTAGCCTCAAGCAATCATCTTGCTTTAGCCCCCTCAAAGTTCTGGGATTACAGGTGTGAGCCACCATGCCTAGTCAAAATGATACTTTTTTTTTTTTTTTTTACATGTGCAGAATGTGCAGGCTTGTTACATAGGCATATGTGTGCCATGGTGTTTTGCTGCACCCAAAATGATAAATTTTATGTTACACATATTTTACCATGACAAAACAAAATCTGTAACATCTTATCTTTTAAAACAACTTGTTTACTAATTCTTAAATACCAATACATTGAGGATATAAAAAATTAATCAAGAGATTTTCCCTACTGGACCTTCCATGGCAGAAGGAGGTATTTATAATGAATACAAAGTAGAAAATAATACATTCATTACACATAAGATAACATTTCAGAAGAAGGAGCAATTCCTTTTGGTTAAAAGATTAGGGAAGCCACAGAGGAGATAGCATTTGAATTGAGCCATGATGCTTAAAACAGCTAAGAGGTAGAAACAACTCAAATGTCCATTGACAAATGAATGGATAAAGAAAATGTGGTATATACACACAAATGGAGTATTACTCAGCCTAAAAAAAGAAGGAAATCCTGTCATACGTTACAACATAGATGAACCTCAAGGATATTATGGTAACTGAAATAAGCCAGTCACAAAAAGACAAATACCGTATGATTCTACTTCTATGTGGTATCTAAAGCAGTCAAACTCATGGAAACAGAAAACAGATCGGTGGTTGCCCAGGGCTGGCAGAAGGGAAAATGCTGCTCAAGAAGTACAGGGTTTCAGTGTCTCGAGATGAAAACATTCTAAAGATCTACTACAAAAGACTGTGAATATACTTAACACTACTGAACTGGATACATTAAAAAGGTTAAAATGGTAAGCTGGGGACAGTGGCTCATGCTTGTAATCCCAGCACTTAGGGAGGCTGAGGTGGGCAGGTCATTTGAGTTCAAGAGTTCAAGACCAGCCTGGGCATCACAGCGAAACCCCATCTCTACAGAAATACAAAAATTAGCTAGGCACAGTGATGTGCATCTGTAGTCCTAGCTACTCAGGAGGCTGAGGCATGAGAATCACTTGAGCCCTGGAGGTGGAGACTGTAGTGAGCTAAGATTAGGTCACTGCACTCCAGACCAGGCAATAGAGTTAAACCTGTCTCAAAAAAAAAAAAAAAAAAAAAAGATGGTAAATTTGACATTATGTGTCATTTTTTTAACCAAAATAAAAAAGGCAGGGGGAAAGAGTAGGCAGGATTTTGCCATGTGAAGACAGAGGCTTGATTTTCCAGCCCCAAGTTTCTCCCACCCATGATTCCTCAACCTTTGTTGTGTAACTCTGCAGCTCCTTTCCTACCCATGGAATATAGACTGGACGAAGTAACTTGCTTTGGCCACAGATCCTAACAGAATAGATGCAAGCAAAGGCTTAAAATGAGTTTAGCTGGGTCATACTTTTGCACTTTGAACATTGGTACTAGGTAGCTACTTCCCCTCTAACTGTGGGCTCAGAATGAACGCGTATGGAGGAGACCTAAGCCCAAAGCTCACAGTTAAAAGTCAGCCCCAATGAGACCAACAGTGTTAAGCAGACTCATAAACCCTGCTCAGGTCAGCCAACATCCAGTACACCTGCAAACCCGCAAGTATAAATTTGGAGGTCTGTTATGCAGACTTATTGTAGCAAATAGCAAACTGATACATGACAGAACAATAAAAAGACATTCTACACATAAAAATAACAGACGCCCAAGCAGACAGAGAGGAAATGGCAAATCCTTACGGGGAATATACTTAATATTAGACTATGGGGCTGTTTCTGGACTTCTGGTTAAAATTCTCAGTGTTTTCTCTTTTAAGTTTCTTTCGGCCGGGCGCGGTGGCAAAGCCTGTAATCCCAGCACTCTGGGAGGCCGAGGTGGGTGGATCACGAGGTCGAGAGATCGAGACCAACCTGGTCAATATGGTGAAACCCCGTCTCTACTAAAAATACAAAAAAGTAGCTGGGCATGGTGGTGCGTGCCTATAATCCCAGCTACTCAGGAGGCTGAGGCAGGAGAATTGCCTGAACCCAGGAGGCAGAGGTTGCGGTGAGCCGAGATCACGCCATTGCACTCCAGCCTGGGTAACAAGAGCGAAACTCCGTCTCAGAAAAAAGAAAAAAAAAAAAAAAGTTTCTTTCTTTCCTTTTGAGATAGAGTCTGTCGCCCAGGCTGGAGTGCAGTGGTGTGATCTCAGCTCATTGCAGCCTCCACCTCCTGGGTTCAAGTGATCCTCCTGCCTCAGCCTCCCAAGTAGTTGGGATTATAGGCACATGCCACCACACCCAACTAATTTTTGTATTTTTAGTAGAGACAGGGTTTTGCCATGTTGGCCAGTCTGGTTTCAAACTCCTGACTGACTTCAAGTGATCCACTCACCTTGGCCTTCCAAAGTGCTGGGACTACACGTATGAGCCACCACACCCGGCCCTTTGAAGTTTCTTTCTTTATACTAAGACTTTGGTGGCAATGTGGAGCATTTGATGGGAGGTAGCAGATGAATCTGAAAAGATAGGCTGAGGCAATATCATGGAAGATCTTCTTGAGTCTTCACTATTAAGATCTAAGCATGTCAAATGCCTAGGAGAGAGTGCATTCCACAGAAATCGTACTACTATTAGTTTTGCTTATGAAATTTTCATTGGGCAATAATTAATCTTGTTGAACTATATACATGCAATTAACAAAATGTCTTATTAACAGCCTTATCATCAAAAATCTTTTTTTGATGAGAAGTGGGTATAAAAGCTAAATAAACCATAGTTCTGACTTTTGTGAGAATTTTCTGAATTAAAGCATTCAGATAAAGAAACTGTGATTCCTAAAATGCAAACACAAATATACGTAGATCAACTTTTAATGTTCTTTAAATTCAAGCTATAAAATTATTAGTAAAGAATTAAAATCACAAAGTGGTTTACTATTGCCATACCATAGAGATTTTTAAAATGGTCTACAATGCATAAGTGATGGCTCTCTTCTTTCTTTAAAAGTATTATTTCTTAATATTATAGTCTTGATTTAGGAGAGTAAATATTAATTTGAATTTACAACCTATCTTCCAAATTTGTTTTAACCATGAAACAGAAAAGTTGGCCAGAATTTTCCTTTATACCCACAAAACAATAAATAAATGTGTAAAAAATTCTACAGAATCAGAAAATGTTCCATTGGTGATTCTTTGGAAAACAAAAACAAAAACCCAAGTTCTACTGCTCCTCAAAAGTACTCAAGGAATAGGAGATATTCTGACCCTATACAAGGTGACTTCATGTTTCTTCTGCTAAATGGCACACAATTAAATTTATGTAATAATTATATTATTAATATAGTTCGTTAATAATTCAATTTGAAATGGAGAATCACAAATGACTGTGATTCCTAAACAAGAACTTATATATGCTTAATAATGTTATAAATTGGCCAGGCACAGTGGCTCACACCTATAATTCCAGCACTTTGGGAGGCTGAGGAATGTGGATCACCTGAGGTCAGGGGTTTGAGACCAACCTGGGCAACATGGTGAAACCCTGTCTCTACTAAAAATACAAAAATTAGCTGGACATGGTGGCAGGCAGTAATCCCAGCTACTCGGGAGGCTAAGGCAGGAGAATCGCTTGAACCCAGGAGGCGGAGACTGCATGAGCCAAGATTGCACCACCACTGCACTCCAGCCTGGGCAACAAGAGTGGAACTCCACCTCGAAAAAAAAAAGTTATAAATTTACCCAAAAAAGAAGCATTTAACACCATTCTACTGTGAACACAACTGGCTTCCAGAAGAAGAAAAACAAAATATACTTTCCATTCATCTATGAAAGCAGACTAGACATTGCAATCACTCACATAGGATCTACGTGTCAAATCAAGGCCAGAGGTTTCAATTCCATGCTATTCATCATGCTTATTAATTTTTTAATACAAAGGCATTTCAGCATTTGAAACAAAGTACTATTCACAAAATTTGTTACAAGAGTTCTGACATGGATCAGCTACATTGGGACAAATAAACTTTCCCTGAAAGATAAATGTATCCTTTGGGAAGAGGATTAACTTTTTCAATACAGCAGAATACCAAAATATGAATTATTTCTCTAGAACACTGAAACCATAAAAGAGAAATGTGTGGTATAGCACAGATGCCAAATCAAAAAGGCTATAGAAAAAAGCATGTTAACCTAGCAAAGGGCAAAAAATCATGTTAGTTTATACATAAAGGAATCCCACTTCCCAAAGAAAATCATTATAGAGAAGTTCAAATTTTCAGAATTCCTTAATGAATTTATTTTGTTCAAATTAACCCAAAGCCTCCAATTTAGATCATTTTCAGACTAGTATGTGTCTATGATCAGTCCATTCTCTATTAATTAGAGAAACACAGCATGGGCGGAAAATGGAAATGGTAGGCGAAAAAAGACATCTCTTGTCCATACTGTAATCCAGTTCCCTCTGACTCGATCAATATTCACTGAGGATGAGGGTTACAAGTAAGAACTGCCCTAAGAGCTTTTGAAAATTAAATCTGCAGGGAAAGGGAGGGACCCTTACGGCTCTGGGAAGTGGGGTATTTCAAAGAAGGTTTAAAGATGATGGGGCCTGGTTACGTGGCTTACACCTGTAATCCCAGCACTTTGGAAGGCCAGCGCAGGAGGATAGATTGCACGTGGGAGTTTAAGACCAGCCTGGGTGATACAGCAAGACCCTGTCTCTGCAAAAAATAAAATAATTATCCAGGGGTGGTGACATGCTCCTGTAGTCCTAGCCACTTGGCAGGTGGAGGTAGGAGGATCACTTCAGCCCAGGCAGTTGAGGCTGTAGTGAGCTGAGATAGTGCCACTAAACTCTAGCCTGGGTGACAGAACAAGATCTCATCTCAAAATAAATAAAGAGAATACGGTACAAATCTAACAAAATGAAACCAGTTAGTATCAATCATTCATAGGAGACACACACATGCACATACACACACACACACATACACACACACACACATACACACACACACACACACACACACACACACACACCCCCATAAGGTTCAATACCTGTTCTATCCTGGAGTTGACATCTTTCTCTTAGTTACCCAATTTTTTTGGTGCTGACCATGTATCATTATCACAGGGAACTTTGAAAACAGAGGTTTCTGGGCACATAATCCAGAACCACTAAATTTTACCTTCTTAGGGAAGAGGAAAAAGGGCCCAGGGATGGGTATTTTTCTTAAGCTTCCCAGAGAGTTCAGCATATCACTTTTACATTAGCATTTGGGACTCACTATATGAGATCTCTTCTCCTTAGGAATCATATCCTCAACTGTACTTCAGTTGTGGGGTTTCAAAAAACTATTTTATCAAAAGAAAACATACTAATCAGATAGGAGGGGAAAAAAAAGAGAATATTTCCCAAAATATAAAATGTTTAAGTGTCTAAAAAAAGTAAGTGTATACATTTATATGCATAGCCTATTTCACAGGAATGACAGTAATAACTTGCTAACTTTAGGCAGGGTGCAGTGGCTCACACCTATAATTCCAACACTTTGGAAGCCTGAGGCAGGCGGATTATTTGAGGTCTGGAGTTCAAGACCAGTCTGAACAATATGGTGAAACACCATTTCTACTAAAGATACAAAAAAAATTAGCCAGGCATGGTGACGCATGCCTGTAATCTCAGCTAATCAGGATGCTGAGGCAGGAGAATTGCTTGAACCCAGGAGTCGGAGGTAGCACTGAGTCAAGATCGTGCCACTGCACTCCAGCCTGGGCAACACAGCAAGACTCTGTCTTAAAAAAAAGAACCTACTAACTGTAGTTGCCTATTAAAGAGGTAAACTAAGTGGCTAAGGGGAAGGGAGAGAACTTTCCACTGTATTATACTTAATAAACATTGAACCATGTGAACATATTATATATCAATAATAAATAAAAAGAAAATTTAGAATATATCATAAAAATCAAAGAGACACAATAATAAAAAATAACAAGCAACTATAAAGAACATTTTGGGGACAAGTGGGGAAATCCAAATATGGACTATGTATTATACAATGGTAGAAAATAAGTGTTAAATTTCCTAAGTGTAAAAACTGGGTTTTTTCTTTTTTTTTTTTTTTTTTTTTTTTTTTTTTTTTTTTTGAGACGGAGTTTCGCTCTTGTTACCCAGGCTGGAGTGCAATGGCGCGATCTCGGCTCACCGCAACCTCCGCCTCCTGGGTTCAGGCAATTCTCCTGCCTCAGCCTCCTGAGTAGCTGGGATTACAGGCACGCGCCACCATGCCCAGCTAATGTTTTGTATTTTTAGTAGAGACGGGGTTTCACCATGTTGACCAGGTTGGTCTCGATCTCTCGACCTTGTGATCCACCTGTCTCGGCCTCCCAAAGTGCTGGGATTACAGGCTTGAGCCACCGCGCCCGGCCGAAACTGGGTTTTTTCATTCAAAACTGTGTTATGATGATGTATGGTTCTTAGAAGACAAAATCTGAGTATGTAGGAGGAAAGTGTCATGATGATTGCATTTTACTTCCAAATAACTCAGGGAAGAATGATCATATACAGAAAGAGATAAGGCATATGTGGCAAAATGTTAACAATTTGTGAACACAGGTGAAGGATATTTGTATGTTCATTGTACAATTGGTTTTTTTAATAATAGCTTTACTGTTAATTACTTCATGTACCATCCTTTTAAAGTGAACAATTCAATGGTTTTAATATATTTCCAGAATTGCACAACTATCACTTTTAGAAAAGTTTCATGGTCCCCAAAAAAGCAATCCGGTGCCCATCAGCAATCACTCCTCCTTCCCCTCCAACTCCCGGCATCCATTTTCTGTGACTATGAATTTGTAACCTACTTTCTGTGTTTATGACTTCGTCTATTCTGGATATTTCACATAATGGAAATTATGCGATTTCCATGTGGTCTTTTATGACTAGCTTCTTTCACTTAGCATAATGTTCTCAAGGTTCATCTATGTTGTTGCATGTGTCAGTACTTCATTCCTTTTTATTGCTGAATAATATTCCATGTATGGATATACCACATTTATTTATCCATTCATCCATTGGTCAAATTTAGGTTGTTTCTGCCCTTTGGCTATTATAAATAATGCTGCTATGAACATTCATGTCAATGTTTTTATGTGTGGAACTATGTTTTCATTTTGCTTGGATATATGTCTAGGAGTAAAACTGCTGATCATATGGTAACTATGTTCATTATATTATCCTTGTAACTTTTTACAGCATTAAAAATTTCAAAATCAAAATTTAAAGAAAAACTTTTATAAAGAAAGAATAGGCTGGATACAGTAGCTCACACCTGTAATCCCAGCACTTTGGGAGGCTGAGGTGGGTGGATTGCTTCAGCTCAGGAGTTTGAGAACAGCCTGGGCAACGTGGAGAAACCCTGTCTCTACCAGAAATAAAAAACAGTATTTGTTGTGTGAACACTTTCCTAAGCAGCAAAATCAGTTACAATACAAGGTTTATGATTACTTCATTCTTCATTCATTCTCAGTCTTTCGCTATTGCTTAGAGAAGTATGCAGCCAGTGTGGTATTAACTAAGACTAATAAAGGTGACTAATGTATACCTGTTGATTAATGAATATGTATAAAATGTAACCCAGTTATTTATTTCACAGTTATTTCATCATAGATTTTCGTAACAATGTGGAGAAAAACTCTGAGCTTGTGTGGGATTGGTAGGACAGCCATGTTTTCTCCCTCCCCACTCCCCACACTGACCTGGAGTTGTATTTTTTTAGGATAGCATCCAAAAGGCCAACGAGCTCTTCAGCATTGATGAACTTCTGTGTGCTGAGGGTGTACATCTTCTCATAGAAGTCTGCGATCTCCATCCGAGCCTGAACAAAGAAGCAGAGCTGCTCTGACAGGTGGGAAAGGAGTTCTTCCACATGAGTAACAGTCCCACCCAGGGCACCACGGCCAGTCACCACCTTCTTCAGCTCATTATGCAAGGAAGTATAGATGGTGCGGATGGAATCCTTCCTGCTGAAGAAAGACTGGCTCCCTGGTAGGCAAACAACATAAGCACATGACAAGTAAGAAAGAGAAACCATAACTACCAAACACCTACCAGCATCCAAAAGCAAAGAATCCAAACCAACTGAGCTCAATGAGTTTTCATCTACCATATTCTCTGTCTCCTATGATTGAGATATAAATACTTTATAATTCATAATTTTCCTGAGAAATAAGCTAAGCGAATACCTGATGTAACTCATTACTGTAGCAATGGACCTGCGTACGATATGCTTGCCCATGTACCAATTCTCCCCCAACCCAATTCAATGAGGATTCAGATTTAGAACATAATTAACCTAGCAAATAATACCAGCTGGAACTAAAAAGCCTCTCTTACACATAAATGTATTCAAAACAAAAGAACACAAATTATGAAACACTGTTATTCCTGGTAAGTCACAATTTTTTGTTTCTGCTTTAGAGTTGTATTTTCCTTTGAATCTTATCTTTTAGATCATACCAGAAAATTGAATACATACACATATATTCCCTTTATGCAAGAAAACAGACCACTGGGTTCCCAGGAGAATAAAGAAAATCTTAGCACTATTGACAAGACTGACAGTATACGCTATAAAATAATAAGGACCACATTGTGAATTATTAAGACCAGGAACCAATTATAAATAACTGCTGCTGTAACTAGGGGGTTCCAAAGAAAATCAGCCAAAAATAAGACCAAAAACACCTTCACATAGTCAAAAAGGATCAAATAGCATAGATATCATTTACTCACTTCTGTATTTATATATCACCAATTACATTTCTAATTATAGCCAGCTTCATGGATGTTTCCTTAAGCAATTCTCTACCCAACAAAGGGCCAGAGGCAAGACATTAGGAAAAAGAAAAGAAACAGGACAGGTTTAAAACACTCATTTCTAGCAAAATTAAAAAAAAAAAAATCTCAGAGATGGACAAGAGTTAAATTTTCTCTTCAAAACAACATACTCAATTACAGGAATATGTTTTCTAAAAACCTATATGGGTACAGGTGGTCCAATCATGACACCAACATATTCCTGTAATTAGGAATAAAAATTATTTATCAAGGCATTTGTAAAATATCCTCTTAATTAATGAACCACTTCACAATATAGATTTTAATTCATTGCTTGGTTTATGTTTCAAGAAATGAATCTTCCTTCCATTACTACTAGGGTAACCAACTTGTCCTAGTTTACCCAAGACTTTCCAGGTTTTAGCACTAAAAGTCCAGCTTCTCAGGAAATCTTTAGTCTATAGGGTTTTAAAACAAAGTCCCCCATCCTGGAATCCCTCAACCCTGGGCAAATCTGAACAGTTGGTTACCCTACTTACTTCTGACACTCCAGCCAAACTACTGATACTTTAAAAAGTATTTTTCCAATACACTGTCTAAACCAGGGGTGTCCAATATTTTGGCTTCCCTGGGCCACATTAGAAGAACTGTCTTGGGTCACACATAAAATACACTAACACTAACCATAGCTCATGAGCTAAAACAAACAAACAAACAAAAATACACAAAGAATCTCACAGTGTTTTAAGAAAGTTTATGAATTTGTGTTGCACCACATTCAAAGCCATCCTGGGCTGCATGTGGCCTGCGGGCCACAGGTTAGACAAGCTTGTTCCAAACAGACCGAGTAACTGGCACATCATCTACAATACCATCAAAACCTATATAGGTACAGATGGACCAGTCATGACCCCAACATCCCATATGGAACTGTACCCTGCAGGGTTTGCCTTCCTCCCACGCCCATATTCAGTCTAATTCTGCCAATTTTGTAGAGTGACAGGTACAAAATAAATAGGCCTCTGTGCCCACATCTAGGATAAAACATCTCAGCTTAGGAGGGTAATAAGAGTATTATGTAAAAACTAAAAGCTGTGCAGGTCTGAAAGACTTGGTTTCAAACCCCAGCTCCCATGATTATAGGCTATGTTGATGTGCAAACTACTGAACTACTATGAGCTTTAGTTGCTATTTTTAACATAAAACTGTGATAAAGCTAAGAAAACAAAATGAAGTAACATTTGGTGTGTAATGTGCCTGGAACAAAGCATATATTCTATAATACTAATCCCTTTCCCTTCTACTTGTAACTGATATATTTTTTTAAACTTCTAGTAATAATACATAATTGAGCTTCTGAAACTGTGGTGAATTGCGAGCGTCAAGTACTAGAAAAAGAATAGCTATCTACTACTGTTAAACAGGGTGGCCTTGGTGAAAATTTTAATTTTCCATTGAAAAAGGATATCATCTGTTTCTAGGACTTCTGGGAGAAAAAGAAAAAAAAAAGGATACCTAACTTCATCAGATTACCCTTATCTGGGGTAATGGAAACACTACATTAATACAAAGAATACCTTTAAAAGCTTATCGATAAACACTAATCACCAGTATGTGAAACCACGTAAAGTGAAACTACTATATGGAAGAGACAGACCATCAACACATTTCTTTTAAACAGTTCTCTTTTCTTAAAGCTCTCAAGAATGCAATCCTATCTGTTGACTATCTTGGTTTGGAATATCCAATGGGGACTGGCCTTTCTTCATGTTGGAAAACAAGGAATCAGAAACATCCAACTTCTATCTCTTTTCAGTGTTTTGAATTTATAAAATATTATTATTTTGAATGATTTCTAGAAGGCTTTAGTTATAAGTGCTCATAATTTCTCAAGATTTCAACAGTTTATCTCACATTATGAAATTTTAAGTGTATTAAAGGAGCGTGTAAAACATCTTGCACATTTTATTCTCCAGCTTCTTGCTAATAATAATTTTTAAACATCAGTTCTCAAGTTAAGTCATTTTCTGCTATGCTAAATTTCAGCAACCAGAGGTTAAGAAAACTCTCCAGGAATGAAACAAAGAGAAGAAAAGTATGACCTTCTAAAATTATCCACAGGTATTGAGTCAGCATATTTTAATCACTGATCCTTCCCCAGACAGGTAGTATTCTCTCAAAGGAAAGAGAAGGCCCCAAGATAAGGGACCTACTCAAAGTTTTTTAGTAACAGGGTCAAGACAGGAACAGAAAGCTCCCTGTCAGGTCTATCCTTTGTCTAAAGGCCCTGCTTGCTTCTTTCATCAGGATTCACTGCTAAGGCCTCAAATAAATACCAGCCATAAGAGAGGTTAAAAAAAGACTCACTTTTTACTTGAAATTTGCTAAGACAGTAGATCTTAAGTATTCTCGCAATATACACATGTAAGAAGGTAGGAAGGGAGGGAGATAGGTAGCGAGGGATGGAGGGAGAGAACTGTGTAAGGTAGGTGATGGATATATTAAGTAGCTTGATTGTGGTGATCATTTCACAATTTATATATACATCAAAACATCAAGTTGTACAACTTAAATATATACAATTTTATTGTCAATTATATCTTACTAAGGCTAAAAAAATTTTCAGAATTATGTTTTAAATTTTTTAAAAGCATGCATAAACTCTTTGTTTTGCTTTCTAAAGAAAACTACATAAATGCTCTAATGAGCAAAGTAGCTGGAGAACATGGGAATGTTTTAAATGGCAACACAAAAGTTTTCCCCTTAAGTTTTTAAGGAAATAGACAGCAAACCTGATAATTGTGAAGTCATATTGTAAGCACACTGATATCATATATACTCTAGTACCAAAAAATGTATGTGCAAAGATAAAATTTAAATTCTGGAACTTATAAACATACTGTATATGTAAATAAGTTATGAAGCATTAAATACACCATTTTAAGACTATTTACTCAGAAGTGAGAGCCCACGTGGGAACCTAACAGTGCCTGGGCATGTTTCATAGTGCCAAATGTTGTGTAGGTCAGTTTCAAGGCATAGCACTCATGCTCATCCATGTCAGCTGGGGTTCAAGCAGAAATAATCAATTTACACACTGAGGACCACTTTACTAAGAACCCAAGTCAGAAACTGTGAAGATCTTATATACACATTCTTACACACAGGGCAGCCAGTTCTGTTTACATAAAAACCTGGCTCATCCAAGTTAAAACTAGAGTAGATTTTTTTAAATGAAGTCAATAAGTAGACTTTAGAGAATTCCGCTGAACCGGTTCAGGTTATATGCAAAATTGTATGTACATATATATTTTTCTGGGAAGTGAGTACACAGCTTTCATCAGATTTCCATGGATAAGCTAAAAAAAAAAAAAAAAAAAAAAAGCAAAGAATCATGGCACTTGAATCAATCACCATTCTTTGAGGTGTAGGAGTCTAAAAACAACTAAGACAACTAAATATTACCATATTACCTACCTTCAGTATTACAGCTAGAATCCACCCCATTTTCACATATATAAAAATCACATATATGCATATTATAGGTAAATTACAATTTACATACACATTTTTAATAAGTTATATGAATACAAACTCAACCTGACAGTTCAAAGGCAGGTATTTTGGTTTGGACTTTATCATCTAACAAACACAATTGCATATATCTATAGAAGGGGGAATAATACTACCATTAACCACAACTGCAAATTTGTGAAATTCCATTGTAAAAAGGGGAGAAAAATAAGGTGAAACTATCTGACCAGTTGTTAATAAATTAGCATACTAAAGAAGAATGTATAAATCAACATATTTGCCACAGCAATTAGGATCCCAGAAAGCCCTGTTCCTTGAGCGTTTACTGAAAGCTCAGTAAGATATACATGGTCACCTTCAGGCAATATAAGGAAAGCTGGGGGTTGGTTGGGGGAAGAGGATGGAGAATCAAAATGAAATCTACACCAATTTTACATTTCTATTCCCTATATTTTATATAGGTGTCCTTCATTCACACCAGACCCATGCCTCTGAAAACTGAAGAGTCTAAAATAGGCCAAAGTACTGACTCTAAAGCCCCTAAGATTCAAATATATTTATTGTCATAATTAAGCAGTAATACTATTTTGTATGCATAATTCTTGCCTTTTACATCTATTATTTCCTTCTCATCTACTCATACTTATTGCTTTTACTAGTGAAAATCAGTTGAATCAGCTCTTGAATCTTATTTTCAGAGGCAAGATGTACTTGAGGTACTAAGAGTGTTTACCATTTTTCCCTTCAGTCTCCTCTTGCTAGTGTTAGGCATATTTCTTGCCTTTCCTGTCCAGTATTCGTTTATTACTTTAGTCATTAAATATGTATTGGGGCACTATGAAGACGGGTAGGAATCCAAATGTGACTATCGGGCCTTAATCTTAAGAGGCCACACAATAAGCAGTGTTCAGTAATAGAATTAGATTGTTTTGCAAAGTTTTGCTTCTCTGGCTGCAGCGTCACTAATTAGAAGAATGAAGACATAGTTTGGTTAACTTCTCATTTATGGCACCAATCCATGCACGAAGCAAAAGGGCAAACCCTTGGGTTTGGGTCACAGCCCTGCAAAGAGCATCTACCCAGTCCGCCAATCTATCAGCAGCGCAGGCCGGTGGGCGGGTAGGAAAGGAACGGTGGGAGGAGACCTGGGAATGCCGAGTCGAGCCTGCGACTAGAAGTGACACAGAGACAGGAAACTCAAGCCATTGCCGACTGGGGAATATACCCCCTTTCCTTCCTCCTCAAGGGTCTCAGGGGGCGGGGCGGAGGTACCTAGTTTCTGCCCCAGGTAGGTGAGGCTGTGATAGACCTTCTCGGCCGCGGCCAGGTGCGCCAAGGCCGCCAGCAGCGACAGCCAGCTGCCCCCCGCGCTCTTGTTGGCCTCTCGTTCCTTCTCCACATTGTCCTTAGCCTTGTCGTAAGAGAAGATACCCAGGTGAGAGAAGAACGTCTCCAGCACCGCCTGTTCCACCGGGACCGGGGCGGCCAGCGGGATAGACTCCCCCATGCGAGCTGCGCCCCATACAAGCTGCGCCCCAGCTCGACCCACGTGGCTCTCCTCGGCCTCGCACTTCCGGGTTCTGAGGGAACGGGCTTACGCACAAGCGTGCGTGCGCGCGGCGGGCTCGTGAGCGCGCCGCCGCCGGCGGCGGGACTGCTCCTGGGCCTTAGAGAAGACAAGGGTAAGGACCCAGGAAAGAGGGAGGTAGCGGTTCCTGAGCTCCTTAGGCGCTTCGGCTCCTGCAGCTCTGACTATTCCGACGTTCGGGGTAGAATAGGAGGCGGCCAATTCGCTGCTGTAAGGAACTGCCTGCGCACTGAGGTGAGCTGACAGGCCCCTCCCTGTGAGGTTTGTCAGCGCTGGTGACGTCACGCAAACGTGACGTCAGCTCTGGCGAGAGTCTCTTCCCTGTGCTCGCCAGGCGCCTCTCAGGGCCGGCCGGGAGATGGGCAGGTGCCTGGAGTTGTGCTCACACTCACAGCAGGTACCCTAGTCAGCCCTGACAGCTTCCTCACCAACTCCGGGAAGTGATACGTTGAGATTAGAAGACTGACGGGTAAAGGTCGACCTCTCCCCCGTTGCCTAGTTTTCATCATGTCGCACACCGTCGGTTAACTCTCACCTGTATCCCATTCTAGTCCTCCCGGGTCTGTGTTAGCCCAGCAGCTAACAAGCAGAGCCCCTGGCCCAAACTACATTATCCTTCCTTTTAAAAGTTTTCTCTTTTTTGAGACGGAGCCTCGCTCTGTCGCCCAGGCTGGAGTGCCATGGTGAGATCTCGCTTCTCTGCAGCCTCCACCTCCCGGGTTCAAACGATTTTCCTACCTCAGCCTCCCTAGTAGCTGGAATTACAGGCCAGCGCCACCACGCCTGGCTAATTTTCGTATTTTTAATAGAAACAGGGTTTCGCTATGTTGGCCAAGCTGTTCTCAAACTCCTAGCTCAAGCAATCTGCCCACCTCAGCCTTCCAAAGTGCTGGGATTACAGATGTGAGCCACCACACCTGGCCAGAATGAAGGATAAATTAATGTAAATTGTGCACGTTGTCATTTAGATTAATTACAAGTTCCTTTGACATTGAAGAAACCCCACGAACCCAGCTCATATGTATGTTTACTACTTTGAAACACTACCCACTACTCACTAGTTTTTTCCTTTATTCTTCTTGGTACATGCTTATGTTATGCTGCTTAGTCACACTATTTAATCACATATATTTACACGTCTCTTTTCCCAAGTGGTGAGATCCCTCGGGCATGCTAGAGTTTATTTACAGTTATCTTTACATATTGGACAGCGCAGCCCTGTTTGCTGAACAAATGAGAGAACTGCCTATTTTTGTCTTTTCTCAAACGAGCTGTTCTGCCATCATCACTACCTTTTAAAAGCCATCCCACCATTTTAATGAATAGATATTGTGCACCTGTTCCCTATACTCAAGAATGTGGTTGGATAAGATCAACCCTGTTAACAATGATACAAGGAAGATTTTTTTTTTTTTTTTTGACAGGGTCTCACTCTGTCCCCCAGGTTGAAGTGCAATGGTGCAACCTCATCTCACTGCAACCTCTGCCTCCCAGGCTCAAGTGATTCTCCTGCCTCAGCCTTCCAAATAGCTGGGATTACAGGTTAGTGCCATCACATCTGGCTAATTTTTGTATTTTTAATAGAGACAGGAATTCACCACATTGGCGAGGCTGGTCTTGAACTCCTGATCTCAAATGATCTGCCCGCCTCGAACTTCCAAAGTGCTGGAATTACAGGCATGAGCCACTGCATCCAGCTTCAAGGCAGATTTTTAAACATGACAAAGGTGAAAGAGCGTGAAGGGAGCAATCATCTTTTTGGAAGAATTAAGGAGGCTTCCTGGAGGAGAGTGTGATGATTCTTGATGAATAAACAGAAGTAATCAAAAAAAGTGTAGTACTATCATCAAAACCAACAGACAATGAAAGAGATTACAAAACTCATAAACATACCCACATAATATAAGAATTCCTTAATGAAGGTGGCATTATACACAAGTGGGGGAAGAAACCTATTCAATTAATAGTGAAGGAAACGTGATTAACCATGGGAAAAATTACCAATAGTCAAGAAACAGAAACAATGTGTCTGTCAATGAATGAGGAGATAAATAAAATGTTGTGTATACAGACAAGGTAATACTTGACCCATAAAAAGGAAGGAAATTGGACTGTCACCTTGTTTCCTGAAGAAAAAAAAGTGTAAAACATAAAACCAGAAACCAGAAAAAATACAAGTGACTGATCTAAAGATAGAGAATAACCTTCTAAATATAAAAGAATTGGAAAAACTTTAAAAGGACGAGATTGATTTGACTGTATAAAATACCTAACATAGATGATGGGTTGATGGATGCAGCAAACCACCGTGGCACATGTGTACCTATGTAACAAACCTGCACATTCTGCACATGTATCCCAGAACTTAAAGTATAATAAAAAAGAAAGCATGCCATCCTGGGGAAAAATATCTGTAATATATCACAGACAAAGGTTTAATGTACTTAACATATCAAGATCTCTTACCGGTAAAAATAAAAGGACTCAAATGTGTAAGTCCCAAAAGAAATACAGAACTCGTGGCCGGGCGCGGTGGCTCAAGCCTGTAATCCCAGCACTTTGGGAGGCCGAGGCGGGTGGATCACGAGGTCAAGAGATCGAGACCATCCTGGTCAACATGGTGAAACCCCGTCTCTACTAAAAATACAAAAAAAATTAGCTGGGCATGGTGGTGGGTGCCTGTAATCCCAGCTACTCAGGAGGCTGAGGCAGGAGAATTGCCTGAGCCCAGGAGGCGGAGGTTGCGGTGAGCCGAGATCACGCCATTGCACTCCAGCCTGGGTAACAAGAGCGAAACTCTGTCTCAAAAAAAAAAAAAAAAAAAAGAAATATAGAACTCAATTTATTTTTTAATGCTCAACCTCACTAGTAATTAAAGAAAAGCAAAATAAGCTATATTCTGTTTTTCATCTATAAAACTAGCAAAAGAAACTTTTATTTAAATTTATTTCAACAGTTTTTGGGGTACAGGTGGTTTTTGATTACATAAATAAGTTCTTTAGTACTAATTTCTGAGAGTTTTGGTGCACCTGTCACCTGAGCAGTGTACAGTATACACAATGTGAAGTCTGTTATCTCTCACCCCCCTCTCACCCTTCCCTGCAAGTCCCCAAAGCCCATTATATCATGCTTATGCCTTTGTGTTCTCATAGGTTCACTCCCCCAAAAAAATATTAAGTGCTGATAAATGTGCAATAAACATCTCTCCATTTTCCCCACCCCCCAGACCCTGGCAGTCATGATTCTACTCTCTGTTTCTGTGAGTTCAACCTTTTTAGATTGCTCATATAAGTGAGATCATACAATATTAGTCTTTTTGTGTCTGGCTTATTTCACCTAATGTAACATCCTCCAGTTTTATCCATGTTGTCACAAATGGCAGGATTTCCTTCCTTTTTATGGGTTAAGTATTACATTGTCTGTATACACAACATTTTATTTATCTCCTCATTCATTGACAGACACATTATTTCTGTTTCTTGACTATTGGTAATAATCCTTTGGATATAAAGGCACAAATGGAGTTGCTGGATCATATGATAATTCTATTTTTAATTTTTTGAGGAACCTCATACTATTTTTCCATAATGGCTATATCAATTTATATTACCACCAGCAGTGTACAAGGGTTCCTGTTTCTCTACACCCTCAGCAACAGTTGCTATTGCTTGTAATTTTTTTTTTTTAATAGAGACAGTCTTGCTGTGTTGCCCAGGCTGGTCTCAAACTTTTGGTCTCAAGTGGTCCTCCCACCTCAGCCTCCCAAAGTGCCAGGATTATAGGCATGAGCCAACCCACCTGGCCATTTTTGGATAATAGCCATTCTAACAGGTGTGAGATGGTATGTTACGGTTTTGACTTGTATTTTCCTGATGATCAGTTACATTGAGTTTGTTTTAATGTATCTGTTGGCCATTTTTATGTCTTCTTTTTTTTTTTGAGGCGGAGTTTCACTCTTGTTACCCAGGCTGGAGTGCAATGGCGCAATCTTGGCTCACTGCAACCTCCGCCTCCTGGGTTCAAGCAATTCTCCTGCCTCAGCCTCCCAAGTAGCTGGGACTACAGGCGTGTGCCACTATGCCCAGCTAATTGTTGTATTTTTAGTAGAGATGGGATTTCACCATGTTGACCAGGATGGTCTTGATCTCTTGACCTTGTGATCCACCCGCCTCGGCCTCCCAAAGTGCTGGGATTACAGACATGAGCCACCGCACCCGGCCTCATTTTTATGTCTTCTTTGGAAAACTGTCTATTCACATCCTTTGCCCAATTCTTAATTGGGCTATTTGTTTTCCTGCTATTGAGTTATATGAGTTCATTACATATTTTGGATATTAACTCCTTACCAGATATATGGTTTGCAAATATTTTCTCCCATTGCATAGGTTACCCTTTCATTTTGTTAACTGTTTCCTTTGCTTTGTGGAAGATTTTTAGTTTGATGTAGTCCAACTTGTTTATTTTTGCTTCTGTCACCTGTACTTTGGGGTGCATATCTGAAAAATCATTGCCAAGACCAATGTCAAGTGGCTTTCCCCCTATATTTTTTTTTCTAGGAGTTTTATAATTTCAGGTCTGATAGTTACATCTTTAACCCATTTTAATTTAATTTTGTGGAGGGTGTAAGGTAAGGGCATAATTTTACCCTTTTGCAGGTAGATACCTTAGATACCTAGTTTTTCCAACACTATTTATTGAAAAGGCCATCCTTTACCTATTGTATATTCTTGGTGACCATGTCAAGGATTAGTTGGCCATTTATGTGTGAGTTTATTTTTAAGCTCCATATTCTTTTATATTGGTCTTTGTGTTTGTTTTTATACCAGTACCATACTGTTTTAATTAATATAGCTCCGTAATACAATTTGAAATCAGGGAGCATGATATCTCTAGCTTTGTTGTTCTTTCTCAAGATTTCCGTGATTATTTGAGGTCTTTTGTGTTTCCATATGAATTTTGTGATTGTTTATTTCTGTGAAGAAAAATGC